AAAAAAAAGAAAATAAAACACTCCCCCAAAATTAATTTTATAGTAAATAAAGGTGTTGTGATACTTCAATAAAAATCTGACCTAAGATTAAGAGGTCAAAGCAGCCTTCCCTGTAAAGAATTAACTTTTCAGTTAAAATCTGAAAAATGAATAGTAATATAAAAAGTAAAAAAGAAGAGGAGCCAGGCATGGATCACACCTCTAATCCCTTACTTGAAAACACAGAAGGATTGCTGTGAGTCCAGCCTAAGCTACAGAGTGAAACCCTTTCTTTAAAACACATACTCATGCATGGTGCGTGCCTGTAATCCCAGTACTAAGGAGTCAAACAGACTGTGAGTTATAGATCTCTGTGAGTTATAGGTCAGCCTGGTCTACAGAGCAAGGACAGCCAGAGCTACAGAGAGACCCTACCTCAAAAAACCAAAAAGACTAAAACTAAGCAGAAAGAAGGAGAGAACACAGCAGACTATTCAGAATTAATATATGCAGAAAACTCTTTATGTGAAAAATAAACCAACTACATGGGTTTGAAGATAGAGCCAGATTAGAATAGAGAATAAAAGGGAATGTGATCTAAAACAAAGCTAGATTTGTTATTAGGGCTAGACATAGGACAGCCACATAAGGAGTTCTAAATATTTTCATGAACAGTCAATCAGCCTTGTGTATATTAAGCACTTAAGGTGGTATAGGGGTTTGAATAAATGAAAAATAAATGCAGGCTGGTTGTCTGTAATCTCAGGCACTAATAATGATGTCCAAGCCAGTCTGAGCTAAATAGTGAAACCCTATCTCAAGAAAAAACGGGGAGGAGGGTAATTGTTAGAGGAGGAGGTAGAATTTAAGCTTGGAATAGGCACAGACACATGCATTTAATCCCAGGATTTAGATAGGATCATCATCATCTTACTCAGTGAGACCACCCTGGAAACAGGAAACCTGTTTAAAAAAATTTTTTTTTAAATGCTACTTCAGACAAACTAAGCATGGTAACACACCTGATTTCCTAGCTACTTGGGAGACTTTGGCAGGAAGATTACAAATTTATGGCTGGCCTAAGAAATATCTGCAAAACCATTCTCAAAAGTATTAAAGAAGAGCCAGAAATATCTGCTGCATAAGCTTTATGGAACTCATGATGGGAGAAAAGAACTGACTCCCAAAGTTGTCTTCTGACCTCCGAGTGCTTGTGCTTACACACACACACACACACACACACTTAATAATTTTTTGATACAAATCACTGTCATTAGCTCAGAGTTCACTCATCTGCTCCCAGAAGTCTACAAAAGTATAATTCACGGCTTTATTGGCAGAGGATGATGAGTATTTGTAAATATTTTCAATACTTCATTTTGAGCAAGCTGTTCTTTTTTTTTCTCCAATATTTAATGAATTACTTTTGACTTGAATTTCTCTAATGTTTGATGTTTACCTTAGAAACTAGGAAATTGGAGAACGAAGAGAAAGATGACCCTATGAAAGAATGGGATTCTGAAATGAAATATGCAGAAAAAGGTAACTGACTTAGATAAGGAGATCAGTCCAGCAGGGTTTGCTTGTGCATACTTTTTTTTTTTTTTTTTTTTTTTTTTTTTTTTTTATTTTAATTTAGCTTGTGCATACTTTTATCCCAGCAGTCCAAGAGACTGTCTCAACAAAGAAAGATAAATCAAACAAGGAAAACAATTTTGTGTTCATTTATATGTAAATGAGATTAGGTCAGAATTTCCTGTAAACTAAATGGTTTTTGTGCCAAGTTTCTTTTGGTGTCCTTTTTATGCTTGTTTTGTTTTGTTTCACAGAACTGGAACAGTTGAAAACTGAAGAGGAGGAGCTCCAAAGGTCAGCTGACAATTCAATGTTAAAAAATTATGTAATTCCCAGATGTGGTGAATCATGATTTAATCTCTGTGCATTTTAGGCCTGCCTGGTCTACATGAGGAGCTTCAGGCTAGCCCTAGCCAAGGCTACATAGTGATCCTCTCTCTCTCTCTCTCTCTTTTTTTTTTTTGGTTTTTCGAGACAGGGTTTCTCTGTGGTTTTGGAGCCTTTCCTGGAACTAGCTTTTGTAGACCAGGCTGGTCTCGAACTCACAGAGATCCGCCTGCCTCTGCCTCCCGAGTGCTGGGATTAAAGGCGTGCGCCACCACCGCCCGGCTTCTCTCTCTCTCTTACACACACACACACACACACACACACACACACACACAAAAGTGTAATGAAAGTAAATTAAAAATACATTCTAAGAGGATGGAAAGATGACTGCTCTTCCAGAGGACCCTGGTTGGATTCTCATCACTTACATGGCACCTGACAACTGTAACTCCAGTTCCAGGGGTTCTGATGTCTTCTTCTGGTCTCCTTGGGCTCCTGCACACATGTAATGGTACATATAAACTCACGCAGGTACATACATGTACACTTAAAAAATAATAACTCTTTTAAAAATGTTGAAGAAAAAGGCTTTCCACTGGAGAGATGTCTCAACAGCTAAGAGCTCTGCCTGCCCTTCTACAGGACCTGGATTCAGTTCTCAGGATTCACATGGCAGTTCACAACTACAGGCAAAACCCCAAAGTACATAAAAAATTAAATAAAAATCTTTTTTAAAAAATATGAAAAGACTTTCAAAATTGTCAAATACATTTAGTTCTAACAAAATCAAATACTTGCAGAATAGTTTCCTGTGTTTTAAGATGAACATTCTTATCTACACATCGCATTTATTTTTATAATAAAAGTAAAATTTTAGAGTTTGAGGCCAACCTGGTCTACAAGAGCTAGTTCCAGGACAGGCTCCAAAGCTACAGAGAAATCCTGTCTCAAAAAAACAAAAATCAAATAAAATTCTAATAATTATGTTTTAAGAACATAGAATTCCAAAGATACCTTCTTGCATTTAAAATCTAGAAATAATGATATATACTTTTTCTGAAAAGACCTATATTTTTTAAAAAATTCTTTTTGACAACTACCTAACTTATAACCTCTCTTCATAAATTATATAGTATATAGTTTATGTATATGTATTGTGTGTGTGCATGTATACCTACATGTATGTGGAAGTCAAAAGATAACGTCAGATATCTCTCTATCTCTCTCCACCTTAATTTTGTTTTTTAAGACTGGGTCTCACTATGTAGCCCCTGGCCGACTTGGAACTTACTAGATGAGACAGCTTTCAACTGATAAAAATTTGCCTGCCTCTGATCAAAGGTGTGCACCACCTTAACCAGCCTCTCTCTACCTAAGCCTTTAAGACAAAGTCTCTCATTGGGCCCAGAACTCAGCAATTGGTTATAGCTAGCAAGCACCAGGATCGGCCATTCTCTGAGCCCCCAACACTAAGAATACAGACATGCACAATCTTGCTTGGCCTTCATTGGGTGCCAGGGGTCCAAACTTGGGTCTTTATGCTTACACAAGGAAACTTTTATGATTGAGTCATCTCCCATCCCCATAATGTTTTGTTACTATTTTAAACTCACTAACAAATACTTTGTTTTTCTGTGAACACCTGATTTTATTTGCAGAAAGTTCTTAGAAGTAGAGACACAAAAAACGCAGACTCTTGCTCAGATAGAGTTTATAAAAGAACAAACAAAGAAAACTGAAGAATTACTAGATCAACCGAGGTAAGAAAAACCAGGTGTCATTCAATTTCTGTTCTATTCTGTGCTTTATATGCTGCTACAGATTTTTGGAGGGTTTTTCATGTTTTGAGTTGGGTTTTCCCTATGTTGTCCAGGCTGGCCTAGAATTTCTGGGTCTGAGCAATCATTGTGCCTCAGCTTCTCAAGAACACACACACTCCAACATAACAACACCCAAAAATTGCTGTGGACTTTAAAAACCTATTACAGTGGTTCTCAAACCTTCCTAATGCTGTGACCCTTTAATGCAGTTCCTCATGTTGTGGTGACCCCCAACCATAAAATTATTTTATTGTTACTTACTTTATAACTATAATTTTGCTACTGTTATGAATCAAAATGTAAATATCTGTGTTTTCTGATGGTCTTAGGTAACCCCTGTGTATGGGTTGTTAACCTCAAAGGGGTTGAGACCCATAGGTTGAGAACCATGGACCTAAAGTATGGCGCAGCCTTTAAAAAAAAAAAAATCAGTATACTTCAGAACTGGAGTAAAAACATTTAGGGCCATGTGTTGAGTTTAAAATATCTTGCCAGGCGGTGGTGGCTCACGCCTTTAATCCCAGCACTGGCAGACAGAGGTAGGCAAATCCATAGAGTTGTCTATGAATTCAAAGCTAACCTGGTTTACAAAGTTAGTTTCAGGACAGCCAAGGCTGTTATATAGAGAAACCCTGTGTCAAAAAAATCAGAAAAAAAAAAAAACCTTTAATTCATTTATCAAATAGATCTTCCCCAATATATGACTCAAGACTGAGTTCTGATTTCTTTCAAATACATCAGATTGAGTCAAGTATGATTGAATATACCTGTAATCCCAGCTCTTGGAAAGCAAAGGCAGGAATATTGCTAGATGTTCTTGATCAGCCACATGTACATAGCATGTACTAGACCAACAAAGTATAAGATTATACAATCAGCCACGTGGTGATGACACACACCTTTAATCTCAGCACTCCGGAGGCAGAGGCAGGTCTCTATGAGCTCCAGGCCAGCCTTGTCTACAGTGCAAATTCCAGAACTGGCTCCATAGCTACTGAGAAACCCTGTCTTGAAAAGACCAAAACCAACCAACCAAAAAGATTGTATAATCATATTTCTTTCTTTTCCTTCTTTCTTTTTTTTCCAAGGCAGGGTTTCTTTGTAGCTTTGGGGCCTGTCTTTGATCTAGCTCTTGTAGACCAGGCTGGCCTCAAACTCACAGAATCTGTGTGCCTCTGCCTCCCGAGTGCTTGGATTAAAGGTGTGTACCATCCACCGCCCAGCAATCATATTTTTTTGAGGATTTTGTTTTATGTTATTTTTCCTCAAAAGTTCTTTATTGGTGATCAGTCTCCATATGTATATATGGAATGTTACACAAATTTTTGTATTATCTTTGCACAAGGGTCACACCAATCTTCTCTATATTCTTCTTGTTTTAGTATGTGTGTTCCAAAGTAATTACTTCTTTTGTATCTTGAGACATCTCATTGTATCAGTCTCCCTAGGGCTGGAATTGAAAATGTGCAAACCACCCCCACCTGGCCATTCAGATTATTTAAATTGAAATATTATTTCCCAATCCAGTGAGGAACAAAAACAGTAGCTGCCATCGGTACTATTTGAATTGTATCAGAAATTCTTCATCTGGGCTAGTAATTTCCTGGATTGATATCCAGCACTGGAAAGGAAAAAGGAAAGGATACACTCACTTGTTTTATCTTGTTTAACCTTCTTTAGTTTGTCTGAGTGGGATGTCATTGAGTGGAGTGATGATCAAGCTGTATTTACCTTTGTTTATGACACAATAGAACTTACCATCACCTTTGGAGAACCAGTAGGTAAGTAGCAAAACTAAAATAATCCTCTTCAGAGAAATGAATGGCTGTACCACTAAAGATAAAAATGTGTATTTGGGGCTGGAAAGAAGGTTCAGTGGTTAAGAGCACTGACTGCTCTTCCAGAGGTCCTAAGTTCAATTCTCAGCAACGACATGGTGGCTCACAAGCATATACAGTGAGATCTGGTGCCATATTCTAGCTTTCTGGGACACGCAGGCAGAATACTTTATACATAATAAATTTAAAAAAAAACTTGTATTTAATTATAATGATAACTAACAAAATGGTGATACTGCTGAGAATCTTACTCAGTTACTTTAGTGATAATAGTTTGGGGAAGTTTGCTAGACAGGGACTACTTGCCAAATTTATGCTCTACTGCTATCCCAGGACAAAAGAGCTGAACATGGTGGAATGACTGAGGCAGGATCATCTGCTATGTGGGAAGAACCTATCTCAGAAGGCCAAAAAAAAAAAAAACAAAAAAAAACAATAAGAATAAAAATACAACTGGTGTTGAGTTCTTTTAGATGATAAAATTCTCCCTATCCAACTCATGTTCTTCCTCTCCCTACTTTGTGCGTGTGTGTTAAAAATGACTGTTGTTCTTAAATGATTTGATATTTGTGTTTAATAGTGAAGTCCTTGCCTAGGAATATAGCTCAGTGGTAAAGCACTGGCCCTGGTATACTGAAGGCCTTGGTTTACATATTGAGCATTGTAGGGAGGAGGAGTTAAAAAAGTAATCCTCTTAAAAGTTCTCTATATAAGCAAGGCAGCAGTGGCACTTGGTTTCAGTCCCAGTACTTGAGAGGCAGAGACAGGTAGATTTTTGTGAGTTTGAGGCCAGCCTGGTCAGACAGCCAAGGCTACAACATGGTCTCAAAAAAAAAAAAAAAAACAGAAAGAAAGAAAAAGAAAAGAATGAAAAGTTCTCTGTAGACAGATAAACCAATAAGAGTACCTAGAAATCTCTAGGGGTTGTGGTTTTTTTGTCTGTTTGTTTTGAAAATGTTGAGACAGACTCTCTGTGTAGCCCTGGCTGTCCTGGAACTCACCATGTAGACCAGGCCACCTTAAACTCAGAAATTCACTTGACTCTGCCTCCTGAGTGCTGGGATTAAAGACATGTGGCACCATGCCTAGCTTATAAATTGATTTTGATATACCCAAGTTTGAAGGCATTTCCAGGAGAGCCAGAGGTACATAGAGAGAACCTGTCCCCAAAAATGAGGAAACAAACAAACAAAAGTTTCTTTATAAAAGTTTCTTGCCGGGCAGTGGTGGTGCACGCCTTTAATCCCAGCACTTGGGAGGCAGAGACAGGCGGATCTCTGTGAGTTCGAGACCAGCCTGGTATACAAGAGCTAGTTCCAGGACAGGCTCCAAAAACCACAGAGAAACCCTGTCTCGAAAAACCAAAAAATAAATAAATAAATAAATAAATAAATGTTTCTTTATAAAGGAAAAAATCTTTTAAAATATAAATATAGCTAAGTTCTGCAGTTTAATTTCTTTCAAAGACCTACTAATTGATGTCATTGAACAGGGGAGCCTTTACCATATAGAAAATAATATGACTGAAGGATAAGCTTTCAACTGCCTATAAGAATCCTGCTACCTCAGAAGAATCGATTTCTAAAGTAGAAAAAAGAAATATTTGTAATTGGGGACATAGCTCAGTGCCTAGCATTCATGTAAACCTTGGGTTCAGTCTCCAGCACTGCATATAAGGAATGATACTAAGTGCCTATAGTTAAAAATGAAGAAAGAAAAAGAAAATCGATAATCCAGGGCTAGCCTCAACTTACATAGGCTTTGAAGACAACATAGGCTATGTAAGATCCCTATGAAATTATAGAGGAAAGAAAAATCTTTTTCTGATTCTCCTTAGTTGGTCTCCCTTTCTTGGACAAGCCTTACAGGAAGATTGATGAGCTCAATTTTCAGTCTATGTTAGATGGTAAGTTCAAAACATTTAAGCCTCCAAAATTTGTTAGTAACTCATAGGTATAATAATTTGTTCTTAAAGTGTGTTTTAGACATAAAACTGCTTGTATAGTATGCTAAATATTCAGTATATTTTAAAAGAAATCATTATATTACTACTAGATATTGAATAATAGGTATTTCTACATTTGAAATTAGCACTATGAGTATTTAATCTATACCAAGCACATGTATTACTTGTATCAGAGCTATAAGTAGGTATTATTTTCTGTTTACCAATTAGGAAACTACAGATCAGACAATTTAGTGTTGTGCTTACAATTACTTAGATAGTAAAGAAAACCTAGATTTGAACACAGAAATATGTTCCATTTAAATTCATGTTTTTCACCAAGCACTGGTCTATAAGTTTAAGCTTAAAGCTTTATAAACTCTCTTATGTACTGAGTATTTTATTCACTTGTTTGAAAATAAAAAATAACTGGGTGGTGGCGGCTCATTCCTTTAATCCCAGCACATGGAAGGCACAGATAGGCAGATCTCTGAGTTTAAGGACAGCCTGACCTACAAAGCAAACTTCAGGATAACCAGTGCTACACAGAGAGACCCTGTCTTGATTTTTAAAAAGAAAAGAAAAAGAAGGAAGGAAAAAGAAAAAAAAATACTTGTGTACTTAGTAGTTTGAAAATATTTCTAGTTTATATAATATACCTTATTAAAATGCTTAAATAATACCCTCGTTTTTTATTCTTTTCCTTCTTCAGAACATAAAGCTCCTCCTTCCTCCCTTTTAGTTCATAAGCTAATTTTTCAGTACATCGAGGAACAGGAGTCCTGGAGGAAGAAATGCACCACACAGCACCAGGTCCCCCAGGTGAGTCTGACGAAGAATCTTACACTGTTTGTCCACACAGCAGAACTGAAGTTATTATAGCTTCCTGAAATTATATTTGGTTGTTCAATATTTGGGGGATTATTAAACACTGAAAAGTTGTTTTCTTTTTTATTTTTGTTTGTTTGTTTGAGGTAGGGTTTTACTGTGTGTCCTAGAACTTGTTGTGTAGACCAGGCTGGCCTCAAATTCAAAGATCTGTCTGCCTCTACTGGAATTAAAGTCATGTGCCATCATGCCCTGGCAGTTTTCTTTTTGTAATTAAGACTTTTAGTTCACATTCAAAATAGTGTGGGTGGTGGTGTTAGTTGGTTTTGTTTTGAGACAGGCTCTTAGTCGCTTATTCTGGCGTATATAGCCAAGGATGACCATGATTTGTTTTTTTCGAGACAGGGTTTCTCTGTAGCTTTGGAGCCTGTCCTGGAACTAGCTCTTGTAGACCAGGCTGGTCTCGAGACCATGAACTTTTGATCTACATACCTACCTACCTGTCTTCACTGCCCAGAGTGCTGGGATTATGGACATGACTACCATGCATCATTTCATTTATAGAGTTCTGGGAATCAAACCCAAGGCATTGTGCATGCTAGCCCAGATTCTCTCTTCCTATTTATTTTTTATTCATTCATTCATTCCAGACAGGGTTTCTTTTTGTAGACTTGCCTATCTTGGAACTCACTCTGTAGCCCAGGTTAGCCTCACACTCAGAGATTCGCCTGCCTCTGTCTCCCCAGTGCTGGGATTAAAGGCATGTGCCACCACCACCTGGTTTGATTTATTTTATATTTCAGTTACATAGATATTTTGCCTACATATATATATCTGTGAGTGCATGTGTGCATTGCATGACGAGGCCAGAAGAAGGCATCAGATTCTCTTCAAACTGGAGTTACAGACGATTGTTAGCCATCTTGTGCATGCTAGGTCCTCTAAAAATCTTAGCTACTGAGCCACCTTTCCAGCTGCTAGGCCTTAACTCCTAACTGAGCTGTATCTCTAAGCCTCAAAATAATGTGTTCAATATATTTGCATGCACACTCACACAAAGTCATTTTTTTTGTTTTTTTCCTAGATGCTTCAAGAACTCTCACTAGTAGTAAACCATTGCAGACTTCTTGGAGAAGAGATTGAATTTTTAAAGAGATGGGGGCCAAATTATAGCCTAATGGATATAAATGTGAATAATATTGAGTGAGTATATTCAGTTCCCTGTAGCTGTTATAATAATGTATTATAAGTTGAGTGGTTTATATAGTAGAAAGTTAACTGATTTAATGTTCTGGAGGCTAGAAGTTTGGGGTCATTGTTGATAGGGATGGTAGTCTAAGGGCTGTGAACAACTCTTCCATGCCTTTTTCCTAACTTCTGATAGTTTACTGGCAGTTTGGGGAATCTAAATGTATAACTTTGATATCTATCTTCATTCTCACATGGTATTCTTTGATTATGTCTATATCTAAATTTTTTTTTCTTTTTTGGGGGTTTTTTTGGTTTTTTTTTTTTTTTTTCAAGACAGGGTTTCTCTGTGGTTTTGGAGCTTGTCCTGGCACTAGCTCTTGTAGACCAGGCTGGCCTCGAACTCACAGAGATCCACCTGCCTCTGCCTCCCGAGTGCTGGGATTAAAGGCGTGCGCCACCACCGCCCGGCTATGAAGTACTTTTTTGATAGTGTGCAAATTTGCTTTTCACTTTAAGAAATGGTAAAATTCTATACACACACACACACACATGCACCAAAGAATTGCTTCCTCTGCCTCCCGAGTGCTGGGATTAAAGGCGTGT